CAGCACCTCCTACCCAGTCCTACGTTACCGGGACTCTCCATGACAGTGGCAGGATTGAATTTCGTTCCGCTGCACAAATTTCTTCAGGAGCTGTCAGACCTTGATCACGCATTCCTGGATACCTGTTTCATATCTCACTTCCGTAGCCGAGTGCTGCTATGCTGCACGGGTGGTGGGCGTGAAGTACGGGTACTTGTACCCTATCACAGGGGGCCAAATTTTGCAAGTCGGATATCTCTTGGCGCATCCGACTACCAGATTCAGATTAACATTCGGACACCGGTACATCTACCGTGGTACCATGTGTATAGCCTTTATATTATAGGAGGGGCACATCATTCCCGTCGTTAAGATTTCACGGCAGGGGCTGAACCTGGGCCGGCACGAACTGTCAAAGATCAACATCCAAGTTTTAGATCACCTCCACCCTTGTATCGGGGTTGTTCACCATGGGCTGTGTGTTAGTCTCTTCCACTGTCCACATGATACTAGCATGGGTTCCTCTCGGCTTTCCAACCCTCCGCTCAGGGCTCACGAATGTGTCAATGACTCTCAGTACTAGCGGAACTGCTATCCACCCTAACTATACAATTGGGGGCGGTGGGAAAAGCGAGCTTGCAATTCGAATAAAGGAGATGGGGGGACAATAAAAAACAAGGACAATACTAACGAAGGATTTGAATGGGGAGTTGGGCCGCCATTCTAGGGTGATTAAAGCTACTTTCACCTGAGGCGTAAATATTGTTCTGGCTCATTTCCGAGATTCTACGACTTGGAAAATGCCATTGTTCTACAGGAGAAGTGTATGGATTGAGCCTTCGCTATATTGTATGAGCTGAGGGGGGATTGCGTAAGGAATTAGCAATCTTAGCCTTGCTTGCCTGCTTCCCTGCTAGGAATGCGCTATCAATTTTTTAGAATCAGGGATGGGGAGTATACAGTTTGTGCGCTTTCTGGCCCTGATGGCATCCCACTAGAGACGTATCGGGATGAGATCGAGCCAAACCTACAGTACTTACAGGTGAACCAAACTCTGAGATGCGATTCACGATTCTATCCTATTCAGGCTAGTTATGTATTTATACATCTCATGAGCGGGTGAGGGCTTTTCCCTGGCTCCAGGGGAATGTGATGTCCGGTACTGTACCTTATACTTCGGAGGGCGGTATAGGGTTATCTACGAGTCCGCGGAGATCGCTCTCCAGAGCCGCGGGAATACTAGAAAGAGGCATTCAGTCCCAGGGGCTGAACGAGAGTTTGGCGGTACTGCGCTTTACCAAGTTTCATTTAGTTGGCATGCAAGTTTTATATGAAAAATAGGCGTTACACGACAGACTAGAGTGTTTTAACTCGCTTGAAAAGCTTGTCCATAGTAAGCGTTTCTCAACCCGGGGCGGGAAGCCTCTGATGTTCGTTCAGGTTGGACTGCACAAGTTGGGGCACTTGCTGTTGGTTGACATGCAGAGATATTTCTCCCTGGCCTGTGCTACCGGTACGAGTGGATTCTCAATGCTTACCTAATCACTTCAGGGAATCCCGGCCTAAATTCTTATTGGGCTATCTGCACCGCGCAGTGCTCGCACGGGTATTGGCACTTGAACTCTTAACAAGGCTACCAATCAGCTATTGTGGGCTATGGTCTATGCTAGCCTTCTGCTAGCATAGGCAGTCATGCTTGTGCACTATATTGAACTGATAGTGCTTAAATATGGGTGTACTACTAGACACCTTTAACCGTCACGAGGTATTTTAGAATACACAGGTGCTAATACAAGTATCACTCTCGGCTTCTCCCCAGCGCTCGAGTATAATAACTGTTCGTGATGTTATTTTCACCTTTCCTTCGAATATTTGGCCCCTCGCATGAACACTTACCGGTAACAAATCCTTAATTCCGGTACCGTATATGCAATACGGAGTAAGTTAAGCACTGGTAGAAGAAACTAGAATGATTGGGCCTTGAGCTAGGACGTCTAGAATTTCCCCCGTTCGGAACCAAGTGGTGCAATCTGAGAGGAGCATACCGGCACCTTATTAGGAGAGGCAATCCGCAACTCCAACGTCCTAGCACAAGGTCCGTTTGTTCCAATATATCTACGATACATATCGGCAAACCCAGCTCCCGCACCGCACCCCACAAGAGACATTGCTGCGATATGCCAACAATAAATCCACAAAGGAACAGTTCCTACAACCCTTGTCCAAACCCCCGATTTATATCTGCTATCTTGCATCATATTATACATTATACATAACTCATTAAGGAGGTTCTGCTAGACTGTTGTAATAGGAGCAGTGCTTAAATCTTGGCAAAGTCTGTTCTGGTGATGGGTGATTCTTTTGTTCGGGTTTTGTTGGGTGAAATTGGCGGTGCACTGGCAACTTAATGTCAGTTAGGTTATGGTTCTTGTCCTCACTATTATCAGTCCTGTTCTACCTTGTGACATTTCCAACTAGTAATAATAAATATGGGAAGAGTGAATCATTAAACAGTGATATTTTTGCTGATGCATTTAAAACTGTAATGAGAGAATTATTGATAACAATTTAAAGTTCAGGCTCATTATATGTAAGTTATACTTTAGAGTTAGCAGATAGCTTTAAGTTCTAAGAATTAGTACCTACTATATAAGTTATAAGAATTGGCTTTGAGTATAAGCCATAGTAGGCCCGGGAGTACTTGGTCTTCTCAGAAAAGATATTAGAATAATGTGAAGCAGTACTACCATATACTTGAAAAGATGTTATTTTATTAGTAAAACTTATCTCCTAATATAATAGAGGTATAGAAATTATAAGATAGTAGTTCAAATTAAGATTAATGTTGAGGCTAGCATACTTGTAACCAGAACTGGAGTTCAGTCCGTTCGGTTCAAGGATTTGTTTTATGTTTTGTTTTACTTGTGGTTTCGAGTATCCTTTGATACTTAGTTTGTTTTACTTGTGGTTTCGAGTATCCTTTGATACTTAGTTTGTTTTACTTGTGGTTTCGAGTATCCTTTGATACTCAGTTTGTTTTGTGGTTTGCTTATGGATGGTTTGGAAATCTGTCCATGCAGGACATGGACGAAGCTTGTATTTAAAGACCGCTGAATCCCTTAGAGGGACAGCAGACTTCGACGGACAGAGTGTTTCTAATATACTTGGTTGAACGGTTACCTCTTCAAGTCCCTATTCTTTATATCTTTCTCTCGGAGCCTCCCTTAGCGCAGTACACCCATAGGTTGTAGATCAACTTGTGCGCTACTCCTATTGTACCCGGAAGCGTGATTAGCACTCCGGTGCGAACACGTTACAATACTTGTATAGAACCTAGAGTTGATAATCATTAGAGTAAAAGATTAGAATAGAAAATAAGAGATATAATCTATGATTTATATAAATATATTAAGTTTTGAACAGATTTATTAGCTAACTTTTTGAAAATAGTCTATAAGTTAGAAGGTAACTTGCTTGATTAGTACTAGAATATAGTACTAGTAGTTATTTAACTATTAGAATCACTTATCTTATTGTCAAAATTTATAGTTGTATAGTATTGATACTACTAGTTCTTAGGTGATAAGGGTAGGAGGCATTCTTGATGAAACTTGAAGAAAGGTTGCCAGTTCTTGAAAGCAGAAAATGAGAGAGTATAAAGAGGTAAAACTCTTAGGTAGACTTGATAATATTTGGCAGTAAAAGGCTACCTGTAGCCAACAGTAGTAGAAGCCCAATCTATATCTTACCTTGCTGAAGCCTCTCTTAGTCTACAAAAATAATACTGTTTCTATTATAGCTGTACCAATTAGGATTTCAAGGAAGTATTAGGCTTCAAGTTAGAATACTCAATCTCTATACTACTCAACATGGCTCTAATCAAAGCAAAATCCTTCATGTAAAGTTGAATCAGGTACTATGTTGCGCCGGCAGCTATCTTAGGAACCTGGGTACAGTACATGGGTGGCCGCAAACACCCGATCACAAAGAAATATTAAACCGAGCCACTAAACACTTAAACAAGTATCACATCTACACCAGGACTCCAAAATACTCTCTCTGCGTACCCAGCCTCCCGACATAGCCGCTGATGTTATGTAGTGCACGACACGACTTTAGTCTAGACTGGTAAGATACAGTACCTTTGTAGTGTACAGTACATATCTGTCGTCCAGTCTTATCCTGTAGACGTCTAGGCACTACAATAGACTGGAAGGACTACGAGTAGACATTTGCGAACACTGCGTAAGGGTACGAAGACCTTACGGACAAGACTGTACACGACGTCCGTGCCTTCCCAGGATTCGGAAATTTAAACTGGCCACCGTACCGTAACCCCACAAGACATTGCTGCGGTATGCCGGCGATAAATCTACAAATGAATAACCCTCACCATCCTCATCCGAACTCCCGATTTATATCCGCTATCATACGAGTACATCATATCATACATACCTTGGTTCATTCCAGGATTCCAGAGTTCGTCTAGATCTTACCCTCCCATCACGTAGCGCGATCGACTCTCCCTCCACCCTTACCGCCACAATCGGAAGGGGGGTAGAAGCCCTGCAGAAGGGGCCGTCGATCTAGACGGACCATGCCCAAGAACAGACACTCCCGGGGGGGGGGAGGACACCATTCTCGCCTAGCTTACAATTTTAGGTTGAATCACCTGCCGTGGTCTACTCCTACCGTCTGCCGTGTGCTGCGGTGTTGGTATGTTACTGTAAGAAAGGGAGCAAAGGTGAAGGGGGAAGGGGAGATGAACCTGAGCATTGGAATGGAGTAGCAATACCGGTATACCAGGTTACAGCGAAAGAATTGTGAGTTGAGAGAAAAAAAGGTGCAAGACGCTCAACATCGAGTGTAGTAACCGGTATCACAGTCCAGCCCCGCCTCCCCCCCCTTCGAGTTCCTCTGCTAGGCGGTCAGGAGGAGGTAGATAACACCACCCTCTCACCCCATAGCTTGTTAAGAAACTATTTTTCGTTTATTTTCGTTTATTTATTTTATCCTATTCCATGGCGCCACCTGCGATCTCCACCATCATCAACAATTCCGGCGCCAGCGATACCAGCGATGCCAATGCTACGAAACTCACGGCGTCAATATTACCCCTGGAAGCGGGTCTCTTGAGGAAACTCGAGGCACCCCTCGCTGACCTCCCCGGCATCGCGAGGGCTTTCGAAGTGGTATACCACGACCTCGCTCTAACGGCCCCGGACCAATTCCTGCCCACGCCCGTTCGCGCGCTGCCGACTGGGGAGGAGAAGGGCAGGTTCCTGGCGCTGGACCTCGGCGGCACGAATTTGAGGGTTGCGGTGGTCTGGCTGTGCGGCGGGGATGGGTTGAAGGTTTGCGCGCAGGGGAGTTGGAGTATCCCCGAGCATTTTAAGAGTGGGGCTGCCGAGGTGTTGTTCCGCTGGGTCGCGGACAGGATTGGGGATGTGGTTAGGGAGTATTTGGCTGATGTGGGGAGCGAGGAGAGGAAGAGGATTCTATTCGAGGGGATGGAGTTGGGAATTACCTTTAGTTTTCCGATGGAGTATGTTCACTTTCTCTATTCTGAAGGGTTTCTACTGACGGGGTTGAGAGGAATGTTAGGCAAACTACCCATGATTCGGCACTTTTAATGCCAATGGGTAAAGGATTCACTTTCACGACCACGAATGACCTCTCGAGTCTTTTAAAGACAGCCTATAATGATCTCCTCTTGACCACCACTCCCCCCGCATATCCCCTCCTAAAGCTAGACATCGTGTCCATATCCAACGATTCAATCTCAACTCTCCTCTCAGCAGCCTACCTCCACCACTCAACGGAAAACACCCGCACAGCAGCAGGCATCATAGCGGGCACAGGGACAAACGCAACTTGCCTCTGCCCCGTCTCCAAGCTCCCAGCGCCGAAGCAGCCAACGTCGGGCCCAAGCACAGACGCCATCCTGCTGAACACGGAATGGAGCATCCGCGGCACCGCACCCCCGCTGAAACCGTATACCACAACCTGGGACGTGCAACTAGACCTCGAGAACGAGAAACCAGGCTTCCAGCCCTTCGAGGAAATGGTTGGGGGGAGGTATCTTGGCGAACTGGTACGCCTCGTTTCTCTGGACCTCCTCTCCTCGGACGTACCAAAATCGCAGCTCCCGGAAAAGATGAGGCTCCGCTACGGCCTTGACACAAGGCTCTGCAGCGAGGTGGAAGCCTCGGTAAACGACGACGAAGCACTCTCCCTGCTGCGGGATTACTTCGGCCCATACACCTCATCCACTACCCCCGCCGCCACCACCGCCGAGGACCCAAAAGAGTGGAAGTGGGACCTATCCTCTGCCGCCAGCTTCCGCCGTATATCGACCGCCGTATCAACACGCGCCGCGGCACTCGTCGCCGCAGCCACTATCGGCGTACTCGGCGTCAACGACGAGCTAAAGCGCCACGCCGAGAAGGAAGTACTGGTTTGCTACACCGGCACCGTACTGGAAAAGTACCCAACGTTCAGAGAGCGCTGTGAGGGGTTCATGATGGAGGTTGTCGAGCGCTGGGTCGTCGAGGGCAGGATCCCACCCGCGCCTAGCGGTAAGAGACGGGTTGTGAGACTGGTCGAGGCGAAGGATGGGGGCATTGTCGGCGCGGCAGTGTTGGCTGGGATGGTTAAAGAAGGGAGAACTTGACCTCCTTCCCCCTTCACTCCCCTTTGGGAAGCTTTTCCTTTCTCCCTTTTTTCCCCCTTACCTCCCTTGTACGGTATCATAACTCTCCCTCTTTTGTTTTTTTCGTCCCGGGATTGGTATATAATATCGGTGTTGGCGGCGCTTCGGGATGGTATGGCATGACCGCGACTAAACTTTTTAAAGCTACGCATTAAGGTGATTGTCATGTTCGCGGCTTCCATCTCCCACATCCAGTAGGTCAGGATCGACCAAGTTTATGCTCTAATATCCATACCCGTAGCATTTCGAACTTTTTTTTCTTTTTTTCTTTTCTCCCATCGAGTTTTCTTTTCTATTCTGGGTGTCTGAATTTGTGTGCGCATAGTTTGTCCCCTTGTTTGTCGGAGCGGGGATATGCGACGAAATGTAAATTACCATGACTTTCAATCTTACACCTCTCTATCCTTTTTCAATGTCGACTGCGGGATGTTGGTCTACCCCCTCTTCTGAATACCATGTTTTGATGATTGAGAGCCCCAGATTCCATGGTCTGGGTGCTTTCCATCGCTGGGGTGAACTTCTAGATAGTCCGAAGATAAGGATCAAGCACGGAATATCGGGCATATTGTTCTATCAAACCTATTATTAAAATCCCCACGGTTTAAAATCCACACCCGGCAGTTTAGAGCCCACGCGCACCGAGCTCGAAGGGCGCCCCCCCCCCCCCCCCCCAAGGGCACCAAGAACGGGACTGGGCTTAGAAGTTCGGGCGGGAAACGATTGGAAAGGCCAGTTGCACAATGGCTCCATTCACAGTTCAAAGGTAAAAAAGTGGTCAAAGAGCTGTCTAATAGAAAAAGCTGATTGTAGACAATAATATTGACTCCAAGACGAAAAAGCTAACAGGAGCGAGGTAATAGCCTGATGAATAAACGCCACCCACCGAACGAATAGCCCACCTCACGACATCCTGTACAATTAGGAAAGAGAAGAGAAAAAAACATAACACCGTTTTCCGACCAGCCATAATGCTCCGAACATGCGAGAGAGAGAAGGAGAAAGGAAGAAAGGGAGAAAGGAAGGGAAAGAGATAGAGAGACAGAGAGAGAGAATTCAGAAGAGGGGGGTATTGCTCATTCCGAATGTGAGAAAGAAGTGAGAAAGGTGATTGGTGTATCGCCTCCCGTGGCCCGTCTCCCGCATCCAAGGTCCAGGGCCTCAAGGCTGCGATTGGAACCGTTCCACTCGCAATGGAGGGATTGGCGTTCTGAACCTTGTTGCAGGAAATCGAGCTCCGGGAGCATGCGATAAACCCTGGTTTTCGATTGTTGGGAGCTCACGTGAGCTGCCAACGCCTCCTCAAAACGCTGACCAAGATTATATTTTTCTACCAGGTCTCGCTTTTCCACGGAATTCATGGTTGGGGTGCACGGCATCGTCGGCGGGGTACTGGGGGTAGAATTGTCGGACATGGTGAAGGAACAATTGGACGATGTAGAGTAGAGTCTCGAAACGCTTTCCTTAAACATTACAGGACAGCATTCAAGCCGAGGAAGAGCGCAAAGAAAGCGTTCAGTGGCAACTGCTACGCCGTTTTCCACTTCCTCTACATCCTCCTCCCCCTCCCCCTCCTCCCCCTCCTCCTCATCCTCATCATCATCACCGTCGCTATCCTCCTCTTCCGATTCTTCATCAGAGTCATCGGACTCTTCGTCCGAATCATACTCCGAATCCCCAGAACCGTAGCCAACCTCGTCCGCCCCTCCGTCATCCTCGATCTCCCACCATTCTGGGCCATCCTCCACCTCAACTGGTGTTTCCACCTTATGACTGCCCACCTGCTCTTGGCAGGATCCGAAATATCGACGACAGCAGTCTAATTTACACCAGGAGTAAATTTCCTTACCGTCGGGGCTCATGCTTTTCCCGAAAGCAGAGCCGCTAGGTTTCACCGCGCTGTCCTCCCGGTTTGGAGGGGTAAATTTCCCCTTCCAGCCACGCCAGAGATACCCCTCACCGGTCTTGACCACACGAAAGAATTCCTGGTTTACATCAAACATGTGGCCAGCGGCGAGGGGCTCGGCGGGCTGGACAATTATCTCCGGGAGGTGGGCTCTACCTTTCTCGAATCTCGAATGAATGGCGGCAGACGGGTTCAGGAGAAAGGTCGGACTCTATGCAAACATTAGTATACGGATCGGCCATCGGGGGAAATACAGTATCCCGCGGCAAAGCGAGCCCACTGTATAGCGAGAATGCCACTGCAAACAACCAGTCTCATAAAAGTTGCATGGGTGTTCTCGCGCCACTGTGCTCTCGTTCCCCTGGGTTACGATTGTAGTCTCACCTTGAAGGCTCCCAGACCGCACTGGGTTACCGACTGTCGCTTTAAAAGCAACATCTTTTCATATTCTATGATATGAATTTGGGGATGTTGGGTCTAGCCGCATCAGCGCATGATGCAATCAATGGTAGGAGCGGTAAAACTTACTATGACGGGACCCAGGGAGTTGCATGCAGGAGCAGTGGGCGTGCCCATCTGCTCCGCAGAAATTGTAGCAGGCACAGCTGCGAAAAAAAAGGTTTCTTTGAAACCGCCCATTAGGGCAAAAAAAGGTGATTTTCCAACGGGGGGGAGCGGTCCAGATTGGACGAGGGAGTGAAGAAAGGTTTCCATCTTGGAGGAAAAAGGTCGAAGCTTAAAGACACGGGTTGAGAGGGGGAGGAGGGTCGTGTCGGGATTTTCTTGCAGGAGGTGAAATTGCAAGCGCTTCGAACTTGTCGTGGTTGGTGAGGTGGAGGAGGAAAGAAGGAGGAGGGGGGGAGGGGTGGGAGAAGACGATGAGGGGTGGCTATTTGAATCGGTCGGTGGTGGGGAGCAAGATGGGGAGTGTAGGGTAGGGCTCGTTCTGTACGTGCCGGGTTTTTTGTTTGACGTCGTGAAATAGTATTTCAGTGAAATAGAATGGTCCACTCGCCTCAGTGAGAAGGGGTCACAGGGCAAGAGTGGATCCTGGCGCGGAACGGGCTGATCCTCGCACAGCACCGCGGCGTAACAGAGTCGCAACTCCCCTCTTTCAGCAACAACAGGCATATACCAAACGGTCGTAATAAAGTAGGACCCTCCATGGTGGAAAACGGATAAGGGGCCACGATGTCTCGAGAACGAGCCATCAATCTACCGAACAAGGGAAGGGGCAACCATGGCTGAAATGTTGTGTGGAAGAATAGGGGAACTCTTGTTATCTTGTGTGGGGATGTATGGCTTCGCTGCACAGTCCATCGAAAATGAGTTCTTTATGGCACGGCAAGGTTTGTGAAAGGGGGTTCGTGTGGTTGTAGTAGATTCGATCTGAGGTTGATCGGGGGACGGAGAGGGGGGAGGTGGAGGTGGAGGCAGTGGGAGGTAGTGGGAGGTGGGAAGAAATGGAAGTGTTAAATCTCGTTTGGCTTGGGGCGGGTGGTGGGTGGTCTAGGCCGTTTTTGGCTGAGGAGGAGAACAATGGACGTGAGACCATTTGTCACGCGGGTATTCCGCAGAACGTTCAGAGCACTTGTGAGACCCAACTCCATTCCCCCAGTCCCGCGAAAACCCGTTCAAGGCAGGCAGGGCCAGAGTGAGTCCTGAAGCAGGTGACAGTGTGGCTTATCCCATGGGATTGGCTCCAAAAACACTCATTCCCACCCCGAACTTCCCTTTTGGGGCACTTTTTCTACCCTTTCTCTCACCCTTCCCACGCCCCGTTCCATTCCCTCTCCCAGTCCTCCCTCGCCCGCCGTAGCCGTCCCACAGGTTCGTGTTTTTTTTTCCAAGAAAAAGGGCCCCCCCCCTTCTCCGGAAGGTGGGGCAACTCTCTTCACGTCATGCCATGATCACACCGTTCGATTTTGTTGGATGATGAACCCGATTGTCCCTGGGTACAGTGCTGTGCGAGTACGAGTGCGGCCGATAGATATATTAGTCACGTGAAATTAGTGCGAAATTAGGACTTAGAGCAGCAGGGTAGCAACTACCGTAGCATGAAAAGCAGAATAAAGTTATCGTCATAGCCACAACATCCTCTGGACATAGGACTACCTAATAACATTCTTGAAAACCAAACTATATACCAACAATCAGGTCATTTTTTTCTCTTTCAAGTGGTCTCTTTTTTTTTCACACTCTCTCATCAATCCTGCTACGGTGTTTTCCATCTGTGACGTGTCTATCCACCTACGGTATCATACCAGTACTCACGTCTCACTTCCTTAGGCTTAGTCAACCTCTCCTTTGCTTGTGGGTGGGGGGGCGCTTCTGTTTTCTTCTCCCTCCTCTTCCCTGCTCCTCATTTTCTTTCCATCCTCCTTAATCTCCTACATCCATCCTCCTATGGTGGGGGACGTCTGTAGCCGGAGCGGGCGGACATTCATCAGAGCTTAGTAATAGTAAGTTAATATGCCAAGCAGTAGACTTAATAGAGGTTATTCTCTTGGCAAACATGCATGAACTGACTGTGCCAAGGAAATTAACAGAAATTGACATGTTCTGGACATTCCCCAAAAGTTCACCTAGTTTTAAACCCTTATAACTCCATGAAAACATGTGGTATTTCCATTTTCTCTCTATTAATGTGTAGAGGACCTCCTACTGTATCACCTAATAGAGCTATAATTCTCACCAGAGCGGTTGTTGAAACGCCTTTGCGGCTCGAAATTGAGCAATAATTTCTTGGCAAATTACTCCGGCTACAGAAGTCCCCCACCATAACAACCACTTTTTATCAAATCCCCCCCCCCAGCTCTTTATTTCCTCTTGGCCCTTGGTCTTCCCTATCCATCCTCCTAACAACCACTTTTTATTAAATCCCCCCCGTACTCTTTATTTCCTCTCGGCCCTTGGTCTTCCCTATCCATCCTCCTAATAACCACTTTTTATCAAATCCCCCCCCCGCTCCTTATTTCCTCTCAGCCCTCGGTATTCCCCATCCACCCCCCAACAGCAACCTTTTATCCCGACAACCACCGGAACTCGAGGAGGGTATCCCCCCAGCATAAAACGGTAAGCCCTCATACCAACTGACATTTTGTTAGGTCAATTTTAGGGAATTTTTAATACTTACAAAGCGATATCATCCTGTAGATGTTCGTAGGCCTTATCTATTGCGAGGCACAAGGAAGTAATAGTGCCAAGGGAGACCACCAAAGAATTTCTGAATGCCTAACGAGGGCTATCCCGACAATTACACCTGTTAATGTCGGATCACCAAACGATTCCGAAATTGTTTACTCAAACGACGCCGGCCACAGGATCCTCCACAGACTCCGAGATGTCGAGGAAAGAATTACCAAACAAGAAAAAAAAATCTCGAATCAACAAGAAATAATTAACCGTGCCAAGGTTCCCGTCACTCCGTTTGGCTGCGAATATTATGGTATTACTCCGAAAGACACTAAGCAACCTTCGAAGTTCGACAGCACTCCTACGGAGTGCCTAACAGCTCAATGGTTGTAACAGCTCAATAGTACTGTCAATTTGTATGTGAATTTAAGGATTACGAACCACTACTAAACATTCTCAGATGCTTCAAATGCCCTTCTGACTTTCTCATACATTGTTTTAAGCCTTTGCAAATAAGTCCTCCATTTTTTTTCCTCTCTCTTACAACTTTTATTTTCCTATAGTGGGAATTTTATTTGGATTAAGCGTGAAAGTACCGTTGAACTGTTACAACTGTTGAGCTGTTAGGCACTCTCTTTGAGAGTGCCCAGGGTTGCGAGCAAGCGAGCAATCTGGGGTTGTGACTCCGTCACAACCTTGGCACGGTTACCGGTCAAGAAGAAAAAATTACGAATCAACAAGAAATAATGACCGGTCAACAAAAAATAATCACCAGTCAGCAAGGCGATATTGGGGTTTTGAAGGAGAAGGTTAACGTACCCGATGGCATAGCGAAAAATATGGTACAACGAAAAATCCCGACATGGGATACCAACAGAGCGGTTTAATAAAATGAAAACCCAAATCAAGCAAATAACAAGCAGTTAGGAAGAGCTATTACTACAAGAATTATGTGAAATCAAGTTTGAATCTACCTCC